TCCCTGTAAATCCTGCTTTTTTGTTTTAGACTTAGAATTGTGTTACTAAAACAGATGATTTTATGATGTTACTACTTGATATGAGGTTGTTTTTTCTTACGTGAGAAGCCCCACTTACTTGGATGAGCCATTTCTGAGAGTAATTGCTAACCTGCAGGAACAGGTATCGAACAAAGAAAAGTGTTGATGGAGGTATTTCCATTTCAAAGATATCAAGCACAGCTAACAACCTGGCTTTTGTCCTTTTGTGAAGGAGGACAATCACAAAGATAATTCACTTGACGATCACATATCAGAACTGCACGATAATATGTAAAATTACCTCAAGGAAAGATGGACTGAGCTGAAAGGTCTTCTTTTTGCTGTGTGGTAGTAAATGTCTGTATTTCAAAGACTTACTGTTAGTCAAAAGTTTCTCAGGACTATGCATTTATGTTATCTTCTGTGAAAAGCTGTTTTTTTGTTTAACTAGCAAGAAGGTATAGAACTGGGGGGGCTGGGGAAGAAAACCAAAACCACCTGCCACCATCTCCTAGCTTTGCTGAACTCCAGAAATATTTGTATCTGATACTGGGGAGGAATTTTAAAATTAAACTGTTGATGAGATTGATGAACTCAGTATAGCATATCTGAAAATTAGTACTGTACTCACTCCTAGGTTTTATTTTGCTCAATTAAAAATGACTCCTTAGTTTCTACTGGCCCCACCTCTGAAATATTTCCCAATAGGCAAGTCATTATATTCTGACACCTGTGCGCTCCTTGATCATTTAGTTTCGATAATTGCATGCTCCCAGTTTTTTGTTTTCCCTTACTTTATCTCTTCCCTTGTATTTATTGTATCTGTTGTTACGTCTTCCATGATACAATACAAGATGGTTTTGCCTTTACACGGTGTTACAGTTGCTCAAAGACAAGCTGAACGTGTTTAGAGCATGCCTCTAGGACAGTCAGGGAAGCAACAGGTGGAGTGAGACTTGGAAGTGTGTTTGGCACAAGGCCACATGATTCAGGGAAAACTGAGATGCTCTGTACCACAAGCAGAAGCAAAACTGGGGGAAATGGGAACCCTGGGCCACAAATGCAGTTGTTCGTTGCACTTTGGTAACTCTAAATCAAGTCCTACTTTGAACATCTTAGTTCCTTTTTGATTCTTTTGTTCCTTATTCTAGAGGGAGCTCCGTGTTTGAGAACTATCATATATTCCTGTATGGCAACTTTAGTAATCTCTGACAGATTGATGAGGTCTCAGGGACTGGAGAGAGACAGTGTTACAAGAAAGGCCATGTTGTCCTGGGAAGAGTTCTGGTCTGAGAGAGTGAAGTGTTTGAGAAGGACATTCCATTCAACAACTTTTGAAGAGGCTTGAGTCTCCTCTTATGTTCTCTTTAATTAAAACTTAAAAATAATAAAATCAACTAAAGTGAAGATCAATGTACCATAGATAGAAAACTGTCAATCTTGCCAAGACTCTTGAAAAAACCTTGATTAGTTTAGTGGATGGAGACTTGTGGCTTCCTCTTGAGTGGCTGGGACAGCAAAATCTTCTTTCAGGTTCAGTGTAGTAGAAAAGCAGTGCTGTAGAACTTTCAGTTTTACTGGTATATTTGAGTGAGTTTATTTCTGCCTAATAATTTTTTCCTACAAGTATATGTAAAACTTCCCCATCACTAACTTTATTAGCCTGTAATATATAAACAATTTTCAGGTTGCAACCTGCTAAAAATGCCTGAAGGCAAATTTGCTTTCCATGGAGTTTCAAGTCTCCACCCATCCTAGAAGCATGACTTTGAAGGCTTAAGCATTTTGCATTTATAGCACTTTTGTAACCTCTGTTTGGAGGAGATAAATGAGTGAGAGAGCTTTCAGCTACCTCTTTTGGCTTATGATAGCAGACTGTCCATAGAGGCAGGTAGGACTGACTTTGCTGCACTTCTCACCTCTGAGATGGCTGCAGAGATGAATCCAAAAGTCCTGATGTTGCTGTTGAACAGCAACAATGAACATCCTGGTTATGCAGAAAGGCACAAAACTGATAAAGAACTAAAACAGATCAAGGAAGGATATATAATAGCTCATCTCCTTTTTCCTTAAGGAAAACTTCACCCCTCACCCTGAAGGCTTCTGGAGGGTTGGAAGCACAATCTGCTTCATACCTCAGTTGTCCAAGTTGCACAAACTGTTGGATGGGGACCATTGGAACTAGGCAAACCAGTGCTGGCATGAGGCCTCATCAGTAATTTCCACACTCTTTGTCTTTTGCTGTAAACCAAGACAGTCTGCTTCCATAAGTGCCTCTCTGAAGCCACAGATGGCCACTGCAGAAACCATTGCCTTTGTCTCTGTAATTTGTCTGTGTCCTTGGCAGTACCATCATTGCCTCTCTATCCTGTCTTCTAAGCAGGAGGGCCACTTCTTGCTATGACTTCCTTCTAGGTACACTTACACCTTGCTTACAGCTGGCTCACAGTGAAATAAGACATTTCTCACCAGATGGAGAATGATGCTTTCAGGGTTTACTAGGCCAATTATTGGATTTTTTTTTTACATAAGTGGCCTAAATCGCCTGTAGTTCAGCTCACCGCCAAAGAAATAGTCTCATTCACTATGACTTTGCCTTTAAATCAAGGTTGATGCTTTCTTAAGCATAAGGTATTAATTTAAATGTTAACCGTAGGGTTTGATCCTGTTCACCTGTAGAGGAGAGGATAATTCCTGCAGCTGAAAGAGCCAACAGCTTAATTTTTCTACCTTGCTTCATTTATCAGTTTATAACAGCCCTATCTGGCTTTCTGAACCTCTCTTCTAAAGAGTGCAATGTAGCTTTGGAGTTGTGGATGAGAGCAATTATATGCTGTTGACAGATGGTTAGATGGTTTAAGTCATCTTCCTAAGATCCTTAAGACCAGCGTGGTATGGTGATTTTGGCTTTTTTGGTTTGTTTTTTTGGTGGGATTACTTTTTTTTTTTTTTTTTTTGGTCCATTTGGTTTGTTGTTGCTTGGTGGGTTTGAGGGTTTTATTTTGTCTTAGTTGCTGTGTTTACTGCCATTTGGTTACCCGATGTTTGCCTGTAGCTGTAGGGAAGCTGCTGTGCTGATGCTGGAATAAGATACGAGGAGGTTGTTTCTGTCAGCCAGCAAATACAGTGTAGTCCCTCACTGCCATCTTTGGCTTTGAGGGAAGGTACCAATACCCTTGCCATGACCATCTAATGCACACTGGCACGTGCCTTATTATTGCGAGCTGTGGAGCAGGTAACACCACACTGGGTACCATGGAGCAGGTGCCACGGAGCTGCCCTCCAGGGTCTTCCACAATGGCAGATGTGGGCAGTTTCATTCCCATGGCAGGGACCTACACAGATTAAATGTAGTGACCTGCAGGCAGTCAGACCCAGCTCCATCAGCTTTTCATGTAGCATCCTCGTGTATGGCTGGTGGGTCTGACTGTTAGCCTTGCAGAACACCAATAATTATTCCTGCACTTGGGCTCTTGCTCAGTTTGGGATCTTAGCTAGTACAGGTGTTTTTTTAACTATATGGTTCTCATCTGGTAGGTGGACGCTTCTACATGCAGCTGTCACTGTGCTTTGATCTTCTCTGAAAGAAAACCTGATTTGTTTGGATATTCATTGCTATTTTCCAGGAGTTGTGCACATTAGAGATGACAAGGCTGCAGGCATCTCTTGCATTCATTCTTCTCTTCTGGATCACTTTATCCCAGAGAAAGCTGCCTCTCTTGCAGACACACCAGCAAGTTCGTTTTAGCACTTTGATGCCAGGATTAGTGCATTCTAAAGCCATTGCTACTATTTGCAAAGTGCATTTTCTTGTCTTTAGCTCCTGTCAGTTGGGAATGGGAGAGGTAAAGGAGCCTCAGCTCTGTCTGCTGAATCAGGTTTGGATGTGTGGGCCAGGTGCCAAAATTAGTAAGCACTGCTATCGCAGAAGGTATAGGTTAAGAAGAGAATTTACTCATCGTATTCTTAAATAAGCACATCAAACACATCTACTGCATCACCAGAGCTGTTTGTGTTAGCTAAGGGCAATACCCAACATCTGATAATAGCACTAGTGCAACCAAATGGAAAACACAGGTATCTCGCTGCTCCTAGGAAATATATCAGAATTGTTTGCTGTGTTGTCAGAATGTTAAGATTATCATTAGTGGTAATTTTCCTCCTTTTTTTTTTTTTTTAAATTTCCTTACATTAGATTAACAGTATTTTCAGTAAGTGGAATTGATACTAATCCAGGACTGCTTTCCAAACAAAAAATATGACCTCAGTTGGGCTGCTGGTCAGGAGATGGGATATCTCGTCTACAGCAGAGCTAAGCTGGCTCCGCTTTGCTGGTTGAGGTTTCTGTATTTCTGAGACATTCCAGGTGTAACTGGCTGGTGGTTGCTTGGTCAGTGGGTGGCTATGCCAGCTGTGAGGAACTAGCCTTCAGGGATCAACCTGACGAACTCAGCCTCTAGTGAATGCAAAAGTAACTGCTGTACTGTTCAGCTGCATAGGTAACACAGGCAAAATACAGCCCTGCTTCAGGCACAATCATCTCTGCCATGATACTCATCTCTCCACTGTTCAACCCCAGAATTATCACCATGCTGTGATTTTTACTTTTCTCCTTTAAATAGAGAAAATGCATTACAAATGAAATTTTGACATGGTCAGAAACTGAACATATCATAGAAGTGGTACCTCTAGTATAGTTTTACTTGTAGTCATTTTCAGTTACATAGAGAGAATGACAAAGCCAATGACTCTGCAGCATTACCATATTCACTTAATCCTAGTATGGAAGGAGAGGTTGTGGCTAACAGGTTGTTTTAAATGTCATTTCATTTCTAAACAAGATGATAACCAGTTCTGAATCATGAGTTCAGAGGAGAACCTGGACCTCTTGTTAGGCCCAGTATTGTTTACAGGAAAGTTTTTGTTTCCCCCGGGGGAGATAGTGACCCACAGATACTGGAGTTACACAGAACTTAAAATAAAATCACATTACCTCATTTTATTTCGAATTCTTAACTCTGATCAGGACTGTCAAAAAGGTTCCTTTGGTTTATGTACATTTCAGACAGGCTTTGGAAGAATATGGACTGATTTCTCAATGTATCCTTGGTCTGGGTGGGTTTTGTATTGTTCCACGAAGAACTAGCCTGACTGTCTCTGTTTGGTGTCGTGGCTTGGTCACTTGAATACTGAATTTGCAGGCAGCCTGTAAAGCAGTGTTTAATTTTTATGTATCATTTTCTCAAAAAGCCTTTGTCCTGTTAGGACACTGCACCTGTACTCGCTTTTTGTTCCAAAGACAAGAGTATTCTGGCATCTTGCCAGCTTCTAAAATAGAAGTCTTCTAGAGAACCTGCTACACAGGGCAATAAAATATCCCACCTTCAGATGCTGTCCCACGCACTTCTCACTCCTGATACACCTCTTAGTTGTGGCTAGATTGAGAGATGCTGGGTAACTCTTTGCTCAACAAAAGTCCAAATAATTGAGGACAGAAAGTGGGTTTCTCACGGTGTGGATCTGAAAGAGCCACGGAAAAGACCATTTAGAAATGGGGGAGTGCAATTAAAGCGACCAGTCAATCCACGTCTTCTTGTGCCTGTACATGGAGTGTGCCTTGAGCCGTATCCTCCTGTGTGACCTTATGGAACGGCTGGGTCACTGTGACATCCCTTCCCCTTAAGGCTGAGATGTCACAGTCATTTTGGTGGGTAAAGCAGGGGAGTTTGGAAAAGGTCCTTAAAAGTACTTTCTGCTCAAATTCTTTCTCTGGAGATGGCTTTGCTTTTATGGCCTGCCCTTTCTGTGCCTGTCATGTGTACCTGAAAGGTGTGTTCAGAGGCTGAAATTTCTGTGCCCTGCATCTCCTGAGCCTGGACTCCAGCATGGAGCAGGTTAAGAAAGAATGAGAGAGAAGCAGGCGGGGTGGAGCAGGGTCTCTGGGTGAGTGACCACAGGTGAGGCAGACAGGCAGTGGCTCTGTGGGGAGGCGCAGGGAGGTAGCGGTGCATGGTGGGCTCATGATCCTCAGGAGAGGGTTAGTGTGTGATGGGGGAGCTGGCTGCCTGTAGGTAGAAAACAAGCGGGTGGGTGTGCAAGTAGAGGAGGGAGAAGGGCAAGGAGTGGGGGCATGTTAGAAGGGAAGGTGAGTGACAGGCAAGCAGGAAGGAGTGCAAGGAGAGGGCTCAAGAGCCCGGACTGGGGGAGCGAGCCCAGACGGGTTCTTGGGCAGGGGAAGTGGGTAAGGCGAGGATCGGAGGGTGTGTGGAGAGCAGGGGATGTTTAGCAGGGGAAGTGGGCAGGCGGCCGGGCAGGGTTCGGCAGGTGAGTGTTCCGAGGAAGTGGGCGCGGGGCCGGAGGAGGGTCACCGGGCGGGGTGCGGCGGGGAAGCGGGCACGGGGCTGGGCTTGAGGCGGGAGCCGAGGGGCTGCCCCGCGGTCCGGGCGGGGCCGCCTCCCGCCCCCGGGGCAGCCCAGGGGCCGCGGTTCCCGGTAGGGCGGCGAGGGGCGGGCGGGAGCCGGCCCCGATAAAGGGCCGGGCGGCGGCCGGCGCAGGCAGAGTGGAGCGGAGCGGCGGCGGCAGAGATGGGGATGCTCAGCTTGCCCGGCTTTCTGTCCTGCGGGAAGAAGAAGGTGAGACGGCGAGGGGTGGCTGGTCGGGGGCACCCAGGCAGGCATGGGAGAATGCAGGCAGGTGTGGGGGCACACCTGAGCAGGGTGCGGGTACGTGGGCAGCTATGGGAGCGCTGGGCAGATACGAAGTTGTCCGGGTAGGTGAGATCCAGACAGATGTGGGAATATAAGGGCACGGTGGTAGGTAACGTGAGATGAGCTAGGATGAGCACCTGGGCATGTGTGAAATGCATTAGGACAGGAGTTTTTTTAAGTAGATGTACAAGTATGTGCTGGTGTGAACATCTGAACAGGTATGTGGGCATCTGGCCTTGTGCCGGTGGAACAGAGTTCGGGAATTCCCTGGAGGTGCTGCCCCCACGAGCTGACAGCACAGAGGATTCAGGTAGGAGAAGTAGGGCAAAACTGACCATGAACATGTTTGTGTTCTCTGGTGGGACCCTCTCTCACAGGTCTGTGCTGACCTGCCAGGAACTGGCTGGACTAGCAGCCCACCTGGCTCTGCCCACCCTGTCTAGCTGCCCTGCCCAACGATGCCAGGGTGCTGCCCTGGACAGAGAAATGTGGATATGACTGTCCTGCTTGCCCGTGGGGTGATCACAAGCCTCCCCTCTTCTCTTCCAAGGACTTCAGTTTGTCACATGACAAAGATTCCCACTCCAGTGATGGCGATGAGAACAAGGAGCGTGGCAACTGGTCAAGCAAAGCCGACTACCTGCTCTCCATGGTGGGCTACGCCGTGGGCCTGGGCAACGTCTGGCGCTTTCCCTACCTCACCTACCAGAATGGCGGAGGTACCTGTGCTGGATGGCAATGTCGGGTGGGCAGGCCTTGCTGTCCCCCAAGGGAGGGGAGGACAAGCTCCAAGGGTCAGCCCTGAGGCTGGGCACAGTTTCTCAAAGCTGGATGTCAGAATCACCCTGAGAACTGGGGTAGTGCCTGCTCATGGGAAAGGGAAAAGGAGCAAGAGACATCTATGTGCTTTTTGAGTACCAGCTGAGGAGGGAAATAATATTTAGTTTTAACTGCTTGATTCCACCTGAGGGTTCCAGAACTCTCCTGATTTGCTCACAACCAACATGCACCTATCTGTCAATGTGCCAATATCCTCTGCTTACCTAAATAACTATTGTCCCTCCCCAGAGCTTACCTCCCTGGTATGTTATAGAGAACAGTTGAATCCTTTCTGCACCTTTGTTTTGCCATGCAAACAAGCTAAGCTGGAATAATTATCCAGGCTCAATAATTATCCCAATCAGATACTTGGGATGTGTGAGGCAGAGAAAGCCTCTATCTACTTACAAAATGAAATAGTGGCAAAGCCAAATGGAGGCACTGGCATCCCTGACTGATATTCCAGAGCTTTATCTACTTGCCAGGCTGCCACTGGTAATTAAAGAGAGCATAAATGCCAAGTAACTGCAGAGAACTTACCTCAGTGTACCTATTTACTCTGTCTAACAGTCGTTGAAGTCGAATTCTGTACTGTAAATGCAGCACAGCCCACAGAGCTGTCCTTGTGGAACATAAGGAAGCAGTCTCAGTACAGAAGTTTTATTAGAGTGAGCTTGGCCAGGTTGTGTTTTGTTGAAGAAAATTGTGAAAACAAAATAAGTTGTGACACCAGCCTTGTACTAGACCTTTTTCTTATCTGCTGTAGCAGAAAACTTTGCATTTAAAGCATATCTGTGCTGCTGCTTGCATCCTTCTCTGTGCTCCCTGCCCATGATTGATAATGACAGCTGTTACATCCTTGTTTTGAAACACAGGAGTAATCCAGTTAATTCTGAGGGCCAATTTACTTCCCGAAATTACATCAGGTATTTGCAGTTCCTTGCAGAACTGGGTCCTTGGCTGCTTTAAATTCTCTGAGAGTGAGGAGGACAGATTTCTGCAGGGATATCGGGTGGTGCTTATGAAACTTGTGCTCTCACTTTTCCCATCTTCTGTGGACACACAAAAAAGTACCAGTCCCTTTCACAGAACAGGACGCTCAATGATATCGGGTTACCCTACACTTTAAAATGGACTTGAACAAGAGCTACACTGAGATGCTGTTTGACACAGGACTCAGCCAGCCATAGAAAATAACTTTAATGCTTTGATGTCCAGTAGCTGCTCGAACAGGGCAGTTGCAAACCACAGCTAAGTACATACAGGAATGGTTCTGATCCTTTTAAAAGCTGGAAGACTAAATAGAAATAGACAAGGCTGACGGTGGCTTCAGCTGAACAGTGTTTGTGTTTGTATAAGAGTGCTGTATCTTCAGTAGTTTCTGTAAAATTCTTTAATTTCTATAAGAGAAACCTTCCTTTGTAAATCAGCAGTTCTCCTGACTGTGTCTCTTCATTGCAGGTACTACTTAGTCTTATAGAAAATGGGATTTAGAAACAAATCTTTCTATTCTTAAAAAAACCCTATAGTGGGATATTTGAGGAGGAGAAAAAGGGGGAGTATAAAATGTGATAAAACGGTGGTGAATACTAAAATATCATTTTCTTTGTGTGTGTGATTGTGGTTTTTCCCCTTTCTCTCCCCTCAGGTGCTTTTCTGATCCCCTACAGCCTGATGCTGGCATTAGCTGGCTTGCCCCTATTTTTCATGGAATGTTCCCTTGGGCAGTTTGCCAGTCTAGGGCCCATTTCCATCTGGAGAGTACTACCATTGTTTCAAGGTTGGTTTTGTTATGCTTCCTTAGATAATTTTTATTCTCGTAACGAACTGATGTGAATTAATGATTTCTTCACAAAGACTGAGATGCCGACTTTTGTGTGGTGACTATTCCCAGAGTTACAAGGTCAGTGTTATGTTCCCAGGTACATACTTCCTTATTATTCAGTTAATAACCAGATGCTGATTAAAGATTTCCCTGAGAAGGTAATTTGTGAGAGGTTTTATCAGTTATTCTCCTGGTGTTAAACAGCATGTCACCCTCACTGCAGCCAGAAGAAGATGACCCTGTTTGCCGTCTGAGGGAAAACCTCAGTAAAACAACTGGTACTTTGTGCAAGAGATCTGAAATAACTTTTAGAAGTTGAATTTGTTCTCTTGCTTTATGCTTCATGTCCAGCATAGCTTGCAAGGCAGTTCTGTGTTGGACAGACTAATTCTGTATTTGGCTGCCAGTGTTGGCACAGGGGCAGGGGCTTGGTCTGTATGCAATGCTGTGCTCATAGTCATCCAGCAACTGCCTTGGGAGTCATCTGCTGGTGTGATTAAATAGCCTAGACTCTGGCTTTGTAAGGTGAGGTGCCTCTTGAGATAGTGGAAATCCTTGTAGTCTGTAGTGGTAGTTTGCCCGCCTTTGAGAGGGTTTGCATTTCACAGGGAGATTTGTTTGGAAACAACTAACCATGTGCTTTACTCACTCCTATCCATCCCAGTCCTGTACCATGAGTGTAAAGTACTATGCAATTGGTCTTGTTTGTTCTCTTTATCTACCAGAGGAATTAGTGTAGGAACAAGGAAGTTTATTTCTGATGCAATAAGAATTTTGCTTGCTACCTTCCATAGAAACTGGTTGCCACAACGTTTATTCTTTTGGTCAGTCTCTGTTCTGCAGCACAAGCAACCTTTCAGGAGAGCAGTATGTTAAACTTAAAGGCAAAAGTTTTTAAAGCAAGTCTTTTATATGTCTGTGAAGACAGAAACTTAAATATAGTGTGTAAGATGATTGGAACAGTTTGTCAGGCTTTCCCAAACTAGCAGAACAAAACTCATTTTAGCAAAGGGGGAGAACAGTAGTATTAGCACAGATTTACTGTTCTGTGTTGCTGCTCATTTATTGTCAAAAGCCTTTATTACAGTGGAATCTTTAAAATGGCTTGGGTAGTCCCAGTACAGTTTCTTTTATTTTACTAAGCTTCTCTCTGAACTGAGAGAGAACAAAATACTGAATTTCTCCTTTAGACTTGGACTTAACAACTAGTCCACTTCTTTTTATGGACCTGATTAAATCCATCCTTGAAATGGTCAGTTTCGATCATATTCATCATTTCAGGGCTTTACCCTTTTACTGTTTGCTCTTAAA